AAAATGAAGAACAAGCCTCTGTGTGAGGGAGGCCAAAGAGAGAGCTAGCTGTGTGATTTCTGCTCAATATGTGAACCTCAACACACATGCCTTGCTCGATAACTACATTTGCCTGCTGCAACCAGCACATCACCAATGCTAAGCCCTTCCTGGATGCCAGAATGTTTTGTGATCTTCTTTTGGACCCACCAAGCAGTGGCAATGGGTGGGGCAGAAAGGAGAGCTTCCATTTTCCAAGGGGAGAAGTATCTGCCCATTGTAAAACTCTACAGACTGTGGACAGCCACAGTTGAGGATAAAGAGCTGTAGTCTGGAGGGAGTTCCTGCAGGAGTGAACTCACACGCTGTAAAGAAGCAAGTGCTTAAGGCCAGACCCCATAAATCCACCAAATTAGATGCTGGTGACATTATAGACCCATTTTGTTAGTTTTTCCAGCTGAGCTGCAGACCACAGAAAATGATTTATACTCGAAGAGCTGGGATGGTGGGGGAAGGGAAAACAGGATGGGGGAAAAGGGGAAAAGGGTAGTGACACACAGTATTTATATTTCTAATCAATAGTTTTCTTCAGGAAGGAAGAGAAAAAAAGAAAAGAGTAACTTGTTCTTGGTGCGGGGAAGATGAAAAAATAAATTGGGGGTTATGGAGAACCAGAAAGAAAGAACTAAAAATCTTACTTCCAAGCTGCATCTGGAGGGGGATGAGGCACTTGCTACCCTGGAAGAAGTAGAGAGAGCACAAGCTGTAGCCAGGACAAAATAAAGGGGAAGGGAAAACGTGGACCCAAAGTTCACCATGCATGGCACACCTGGCACAGAGGCTTGTAGGAATATTACACAGAGCTCTTTGGCCTTTGATATAGACTTAGCAGGAGACATCAAGGATATGACCAAAATGCTTCTTCCTCATCTTGAAAACTAGGTACCACAGCCTTTGTAGTTGACATGGAGAGCTATGATGGAGGGGAAACAAACCACTTTGGCTTTAACTTTTGTGATTCTAACTTGCCTTGAAACCAAACTAACTACGAAAGCAACTGCTTGTCTGACAAAAACTTCAGTAACCTGTGTGAATGTTCTTGCTTCTCACTATTTACCTGGGTTTTGATGGAAATTAACTAACATATAAACTAACTATCATATATATAATATAAATATTAACTGTAAGTATTTAAACAAAAAGATATAAGCTGACAAATGAGAGATTTAGATTAGATATTACAAAAACAGTCTTCACTGTGAGGGTGGTGAGGCCCTGGCACGGGTTGCCCAGAGAAGCTGTGGCTGCCCCATCCCTGGCAGTGTTCAAGGCCAGGTTGGACGGGGCTTGGAGCAACCTGGTCTAGCGGAAGATGTACCTGCCCATGGCAGCGGGTTGGAACTGAATGAACTTTAATATTCCTTCCAACCTGAACCATTCTATAATTATATGATAATGAAGACTTATCCAAGGGTCATCCACAGAAGAGACTGAACTGAGTCGTTGTCCATGCATGCTATCTGTTATGTGGTCAGAGATGTATGTTCTACAAAAACAAGTGAGATGACCAGCTCTTCAGTACTTGCACCACTCATTCCTGAAACAGTCACCTGCAGAGGGAGGGTATTGTGCAGTATTAAGCTCACTGAGCTGTGAGTCAGAAGTGGTTGGAACTTTTACTAACTGCTGCCAACTAGGTTATATAAAACTCACTAAAATCTGGCATGTTTTCTGTATCAAATTTAGAAAGTAAGGATGATCACGAATTTTCCCATCAAACCAGTCTGTGATAGAATTTCTGGGGGCTTATTTTGGCTAAATAAACTCTTACACTTTGCAGAAAGGATCTTTTCTTGTGATCTGAAAAAAAAAAAAAAAAGAAAGAGAGATCATAGAAAAGAATGTTTAATTTTGGAGCAAAACAATTTCAATCTTCACTTTTACCTAAGAAATAAAAATATTTTGCTGTTAAATGATCAAAATACTCTGTTCAAGGACAATGGAAACTTCTCACTGAGCTTTTCTGCTCCCTCAGCTCCTGTTTATGGATCTAAACAGAAATCCCATACTACATTGGACATCAGTGCAATTTCGTAAGTGCATTTCATCACCAAAGCTGATATCTTAAGTAGATCAGATACTTCATACGCTAAACATTTCTGTCCCCTGGATAATTCAACTGTAGAGATTTAAAGTGAGGTGAGTCAAAACCCACCCTCAGCTCTTGATCATGAGGACTACTGCTGGCAGCAACAGTTTGAATTTACCACTAACTGCTTTTTCCAAACTTCATAGTAACTGTTTGGCACAGTCTGTAAAAGTTGCCACAGCATGGACATATTCTGATGGACTTCTCTAAGATAAGTAGATTGGCTGTATAGAATCTGCCTGGTATGGAATTAACATTCCCCATAGCAGCCCTCAGAATGCTGTACTTTGCATTTGTTGCTAGAAAGGTGTTGATAGCACCCCAGTGTTTTGCCTAAGGCTGAGCAGTGCTCAAACAGCATCAAGACTGTCTCTGCAACCCACCCACCGAAGGCCAGTAGGCCGGAGTGGACAAGAGGCTGAGAAGGGACACAGCCAGGATAGCTGACCCAAAATGACAAAAGGGATATTCCATACCATATGATGAGATCAGCAATAAAAGTTATTTCCCCACCTTGTCCTGCTGAGGAGGGGGAGTGAGAGAGTGGTTTTGTGGGCATCTGCAGCCCTCCAAGCTCAACCCACCATAGTGGTCATACATGACTAATGTGGCAATGAAACGTAAGCAGCGTAAGCAGAGCCTTAATAATGTGTTAAAGTTCTGAACTGTGTCTCCAAAAGGGGTTAGGAGTTTAAAATGTCCTTTGGACTCACATGCTTGTTATCTAGCATTGCTTAGCATACTTGATCACAGTCTTAATCACTGCTTAATTTACTGGAAGGTACCTAGAACAACTTTGGGGTCAGTGTGGAATATATGGGTAAATCACTGCTTCTTCCCAAGCTACCTATTAAATTATTCCCCAACAAAACTATCCTCACTGACAATGTATATTCGCCACCTTCAAGGTCTAAACATTGTTGTTAGATTTGTTTTTATGGAAAGAATTCCTGCTCACCCTCCAATCTCTCTTGTTTATCCACCTGTTGCTGAAGGGGTTTATCTGACCATGTATAGATTCTTGCAATGTAAATATTGCTATCTAGACAACATTCCTATATGGATTAAGACTAGTATTTGAGGAGAGCATTCCATTTCCTTCAAAAGTGATCATCCTTTCCACTGACTATAAAGTCAACTAGGGCTAACTAGCTTAATTACCTAAAGTGTGATGACTCTGATCTTACTCATTGCATTTTCTTTCTCATCATCTGAAATACACACTGTTGAATTTGTGATTTCTATGAGTCTAATACCTAGCCATTCAAATCAGAATAGGGCACAATATATGTAAATAAAATGTTATTTTTCAGACAGAAAAAGGAGTCTTGTTACCTTCCCATTTTACCAGGAAAACAGAAACATGAGACTACCAACTTTTTTCCCTGTGAGAAATTTTGTGGAAAAGACATCAGATTAGGAGAAATATAATTGGAAAAGGAGGTTCAAGTTGAAATGTCAACCCTTTAGTCAAAAGATGGACAACACACAGGAGACAGGGTTGAACATTTATGGAGAAAAGACAGCTCTCTTTCACCCTAAGTTCGAAGTAAGAACTATAAGAAAGACATCTGGGACATTTGGCTTCAAACTGAAAAAAAGATAGATTTAGATTAGATATTAGGAAGAAGTTCTTCTTTGTGAGGGTGGTAAAGCTCTGAAAGAGGTTGCCCAGAGAAGTTAGGGCTGCCCTATCCCTCGATGTGTTCAAGGCCAGGTTGGATGTGGCTTTGAACAACCTGTTCTAGTGGAACGTGTTCCCATCCATGGCAGGGGGGGTTGAAACTAGGTAAACTCTAAGGTCCCTTCCAACCCATTCTGTACTTCTATGATTTCATGGAGTTATAGCATTTTTTTGTCCCCAGATAAATTCCACATAAATAAAACCTTCTCCAGGTTATTGCAACAGTGCTGCTCCAATTATTACTGTTTAGCCTGGACTTCCTGCTAATGATGGAGCTTTGATGAATATTTAAGGGGGGATTAACTTCCTCTAAGTTCAGGTGCTTATAAATGAGCTACTTGATACAGATTCCCCTAATAACCTTCAAACAAGCAATGAGTAATGCGCATGTCTCTTTTCATCCAGTTCCTGTTTTAGGATGGGATGGGCTGCATCTACGGACTTTATTTTATCCACATGGAAGAAAACGGGTATATCAGTGCAGATGTAGATGTCTGTATTTAATCAGATAAATTTCATGTTAGAAAGATGGTCTTCACAGTTGCATACAGGCAAGATGTACTTAAGACCGTCATATGATACACACAAAGAAATGGAAAAAGACGGCATGATCAGACCAAAGTCAGAAATCGCACAGCTGCTGCTTTTGCTCATGCAGTTCTGATAACCACATATAAAGCTTTGAAACCAAGATATTGCCCTTCTGACAGTAATATACTTTAACAACAAGGGAGAAAAAATAGCTGAAATGAATTAAAACATTTTCATGACTGCCATTTTGACATGTGAAGAAAAGAACAACATTAAAAGGAAAGGAAAATCATTTCTCCTCTGCTTTTTGTAAATATCTGATTAGAACATTTTGACATGATTTGAAAGATTTTGACAAGCTTGTGTTGCAATACGAGTGTCAGGTTGCCCAGCAATGCCAGCCCATACAAGGAAGCAGACAGGTTCCTGCATTTGAAATGGCTTTGGGTACAAATAAGGGCTGTGTTCTGCAAGTAGTCCAGAGTCAATGAGAGATTTGGAGATCAAGGAGAAAGCATTAGTCTTTATGAGGTGAAATATTTAGTACCAGTATTTAAAGACTGAAATGTCTTTTTAAATATGGCTCCTAACTATTATTCACCCAGTGATTTATAGCTCAGTTCACTATGCAACAAGAAAGGTAGTTCTTGCTTTGACCAACTAAAGCAGCCCTTGAGTATCACTTGCTTCCTCCTCTCTTTACTTCTTTGTTTCTTATGTTGGACCTTCTTTTTTTATGTCCCTCATTGCAGTAAGTCCACGGTCCACATGGTTTCATGCCCACCTCTACAGCCATTACATCCACTGAAATCACAGGTGGAACAGTTAACATCAGTGTCACCTGCCAGGGCCTTCAACCTAAAATTTGGATAAGACATGGTAAGAGGGGATGATCTTTTAGAGAAAATGTTTCAGGGTCTCTTCAAATTTAGGCAATCATGACAGTAGTGGTTTGTTGAGAAGTTTATCACAGCAGCCAGAGACTATAAAAATATAAACCCAAAAGGTCTACGCTGTGGGGCTTGTAACAGCCCACAGTGAAAGCTTAGCCCATAGGAGGACTAGAAATACATGAATGGGACAAGGTAGAAGTGTTACCTGATAGTGCAGGTGGAAGGGTCCTGTGTTTTTACAGCTGGAGGACCAGCATGCTACGACTTTTCCCTGGGTTTGATACATAATTCAGATTTAGTAATTGCACAACTTCAATGTAGGGAGCATGGCTTCATTATGTTTTCTTAAGACCTATCTTTGATGTCAGAGTAAGAGTCTTCCGGGACTAGACCAGAACATTAAAGCAGGGGAAAGGATTTTCTCTGTTCATGCATATGAAAGCAGATTTTGCTGAAGGTTAAGTGTGAATTTTGAGTTATGCATTTTTCTGAGCATGTTGTTCCCATCTCATCCCCCAGCTTGTTCCAGGCAGTGTTAATTCCCACATCCTGGGAACATTAGGTCAATTGTTTGTCAAATTACCCAGGTGAGTTCACACTTGCAATGAGCTCCATTTCACCGGAGGCTGAAAATGGGGTCCTGGCAGGCCTTTGCTATTCCCTATATTTATCCACCCAGGCATCGTTCACTGTAATGCTTTCCTTTGCAAGAGTTGAGCAACCCACCACAAATTCTTGGGAAAGACTGACCTCTTCTGGGAAGCTGAAATGCAGCTTCTCAGGGAACCTGAAACCAGCCATTGTGCCCTGGAATTTCCCCCAGGCATTTTGGGCAGCAAACTCTTGGCATTAGCTGCTAAACATTTTCAATTCTTTTTCTAGAGATGCTTTCTTAGAAATGCTTTTTGCTTGCTAGCTCTTTAAGCCACAAAGGTTTGCAGACTTGCACTAGCTAATTTTATATTCTCCCTCACATCCCTCATGATTATTTTCAAGTTCAGTGAGGTTTTCTCAACCCGTTCAACTGTATCCTCCTCCTTTCTGCTTCTTTCCTAATATTTCAGCCCTTTTCCTGGTTCTCGGCATTGGTCATAATCCCAAAGTCATAGATTCACAGGTTGGAAGGGATCTCAAGGGTTACCTGGTCCAGTCTTTCTAGGAAAGCATGACTCAGACTAGATGCTCCAACATCCTGTCCATATGAATCCTAAAAGTGTCCAGTGTTGGTGAGTCCACCACTTCACTGGGGAGATTATTCCAGTGGCTGGTTGTTCTCACGGTGAAAAATTTGGAATCTCCCCAGGAATAACTTGTGCCCAGTATCCCTCATTTTTCTCATGTGACTCCTTTTAAAAAGGGAGACTCCATCTTATTCATAGCCACACTTTAAATACTGGAAAAGTCATAGGTGTTTCTATTAAAATGATCAATCCTTTTACCTTGTTGACACTTTATTACCTTCAACTTCTGAGATTCCAGCACTAATTGCATTACGTTACCCAGACCTGAACCAAGGTGTAAACACAGGTCCTTGAAATAATATGATAGTTTAGTTAATAGGTACAATGGTCTTCCACTTGGTTAGAGTGCTAGACTGTGCTGTATGGTGATGTGCCAATGTTATTTATTTATTCCCTGGTACCTTGAGCCATTGCTTCACTCCTCTAGGTAACACAGGGCACAGTGACCTCCCCCCAGATATTTGTAGAGGGTTTCAGATGGCCAGAAAACCGTCCTGAGTGTAGCTTGATAGTATGGTGCCAACATGCAATCTGCTAATTAAGAGGTAGCATGTCAAGCTGCTGATAATCTCTTTTGTCTTTCCTTCAGCATATTCATGCTAGAGCACCTTCCCATAGCTTGGTATCAGCAGCACCAATATACCAAGTTCTACTTCAGCCTCAGAGGTGAGAGGCCTGCCAGAGGTGGCTGGATGAAGATGAGCAGTTGGGGTTACACGCCCTGTGATGTTTTTCTCTTGTTCCCCAGAAGTGCGTCAGGACAGCCTGAGCTAGGATGTAGCTGGAGGATGCCATGGGTTTTGTGTGCATGTCATTAATGCCCAGGCCACACCAATGGCTATTAATTGTCCTTACCGGCCACATCTGTGGCATCCACCTCAGGTCAGACTGATCAGGAGCAGGAGCTTGAGTTTTTATCCAGCTCCTGAGCTAAGGGGTTGGGGGTCTGCAGATGGTCAGGGTGATTAAGGTCCCTTGGTTCATTCACAGCCTTGAAACGTGTGTCATATGTTTCAAGCAGTGATTTTTAAGTAAGATGCAGTCTCTTTGAAGATCTGACTTTACAGGCTTGGCCATCAGAATCATAATCATAGAATTATTAAGGCTGGAAAATACCTTTAAGATCATCAAGTCCCACTTGGTGATGGATTCACCAGTGTTGGTGAGTCCTGGAATGTCACACTGATGTTACCTCTTTCAACACTGGTAAGTCCAACTGGTGAACTCAACTGGGGAACCTCATGCTGCCAAGTGTTAAAAGGATGTCTGAAAGTGAAGGAGTTCCCTGAGTTTGAAGAGCCACCCAATTTTTGCACTCCAGTATAACGAACAGTAGCTTTCTAATTGCTATGTAAATTCTCAGTCATAGCTTAGACAACTTTACACTTCAGCAACTTTTAAGAGCCTAGCTTTGACATGTCTGCTCTGTTTCATTGTCCTTCTTAAAATCTGTATAGGGACATAAGAGTCTGGTTCTGGTGTCCACTCCCTCTTATGCTGTGAGCAGTGCCAGCACTTGCAGAGGAGACTTTGGAAAAATCTGTGACTGCTAAGGCTTGACCCAGGTCTTTCATAGATAAAGATTGTGTCAAACTTGAGGTTAAATAAAACCTTTTAATACATTCATATTTGTCATCACATTTAGTGATGGAGTGACAGGTAATAGTCCAGTGTTACATTCCTGTGTTAGTGGTCTCCATGGTGGACTTCTATTGTGTGTGGGAAAGCATTTCCTTTCACCAGGTTTTAATTTCACTGTCTTTCTATCTATGCTGACTGTATCACCAAGGTGTCTTTGCCATAGGTCAACATGCTAGTGGTGTCTATGTATGCACAGACAGGCCAATATGGTCCTGTCCAAGGGAGCTCACTCATTACTCCAGCTTCAGCTCCCACATCCATTGAGAAGACCATTAGCTTCAATTGGTATTTTTGGCCACATGAGGAGTTATCACCCACTGAAATCGAAAGTCAGAGAGAGAGGGGACTTTGCAGTTCACTTAAGATGAATAAGAGGATACTGAACTGCCCAGTCTAGTCTGTATGATCCACATCCTCCAGGAGCTCAGTGAATGCCAGTAGCATTTGATAAAGACCCTCAGAGGTCACAGGGGATGGGATGGGATAAGTGAAATGCAGTATTTGCTCGTATGGAGAGCAAACATCCAAGCAAAGCAATTCTTTCCAGGCCAGCATTATTGATATGAAAACCACAGAACTTAATTAAAACTGAATGTAATTAAAGCCAGATGCAAGAAAGATTTTATTTTTTTTTTTCCCCTGCATACCATATTGTAGACTCATAGCATGACTCACGGGAAGAGTGCAGTAAGTCAAGGTGACTGGGAACATTCAAGGAGCGATTATCTGGAATCATTAGTGGAGCTGGTGGGCGACAGCTGTAAACTGGGAATAGGTCTTGATGAGGTGCATGGCCTTTAACTCCTCTGGCATGTAATGAGTGCTGTAAATCTCCCTGTTACAGGCAGTGGTGATGTGGGTGTATTCAGTCAGCAGCCTTGCTTTAATCTCTTTGTGACATCAAAAGAAGAGGAGGGGGACCCTTGCTCCAGGACCTGAGTGACTTGAGCTTCCTGAAATGGCTGAAACTATTCACTTTCATGTGGGAATTCTGTGCAGTATTTTGAAGGCTGAAAACTCAAATTCAGGTCTGAAAAGCTTTTGTATGAACTTTGAGGAACTGCATGGGTTTCCAGGGATTTACACCTCTCAGAGCAGAGCCTGGAGTTTTATATCTAAAATCCCTGAGCTTGTCCACAGCTATTTTCTTTCCTTTCTGTGTATGTATGAGTGTTTCACAGAACAGACGATATTCGTATTACACCATAATACTCACCTGGCCTGTGGTGATTCAGGTATGAAACCCAGGGTTAGGACTACCTCTGTACAATGAGTCCTCTTCCAGGTCCTGAAAGTGAGTTGTAATATAAACTGTGGCAACGTATCTTTTCTCTGTGCTTCAGTGTCCCTTACTACAAAATAGGGGCTGCTCATGTTCTCCAGAAGGTGGTGAGCTGTGAAAACTAATTAGGACTTGATTAATTTCACCTAATATTAAATTAATATTTACCTAATATTAAATTAAACAACTGAGGGAAGAAATGTTAGGTGGTATGAAGCAGCCAGGAGGTTATAGCTACTCTGAGTCAGGAATTGTTCACAGACACTTCACAGCCTACCTCCCCCAGGTGTCATGGCTGAACTATATCTTCATTCTTGAAAATGCAAGTTTAGGTGATTGTACAATCATTTCCTAACTCATTTCATTCCAAATTAATTGGATTCATTTCTGCAGCTAGACATAACTTACTTCTCAGGAACAGCTAAACATTCCAACCCAGTGCCATCCACTGGGTTGGAAACAAGATTTTCCACTTGCCATAGAGAATTTTAACAGTTAAAAATCAAAAATCTGAAACCTTCTGGCATTTCCCAGCTCTCCTGAACAACTATCCCTGAACATGCCTGGTGTAACAGTTCCTGATTCTGGCAGCAAGATCACTTTTATGCTGCGAAGAGATTGCCTACAAATCATTGGCTTTAAATGGACCGCGTCTCTGAGAGGAATTTCCACAGCTTTTCTGGGCACCAATCACATGGTTATTAGCCATCTGCAAATCCATACAGATTATGAGCTCACCACCTTGCCGGGCTATCTTGTATTGCAACTGATTAAATTTCAGACTCAGTTTTTCCCACTTCTGGAGTTGTACACATTCCCTAGTGACTATCTCCATTAGCGATAAACCAAAGGTTCAGTTTTGTGTCTCCACGTGTTTTCTTCCTGTTCCAAAGTCTGCCAGATTTAAGCCAATTTAAATGCTTCTCTGTCCTTTCACATCTGTTAAATATCGTGTAACCCCAATGTTTCCCTGATACTGACTTCTATGCTAAAACTCAAATACAAAGTTGCAGTTAAATCTTATTCCTCCAAATTTTGGATGCAACTTTTCCATCTGATCTTTTTCAGTTTATATATATGCCTCTTTATCAAAATGGGTGAATGCTTTTGCATAAACACACTAAATACAGATGGTCACTCTTAAGCAAGCTTTGCATTTTCTTCAAGGAAAAAAAAAAGTCTTCTCTTGGTAGGCAGTTTTCTGAATACTCCCAGACATTAACATAAATGCTTTTCAAAGTTCATATTATTTTCAAGCTCCCTCAATTTGCAGGCTAAATATGTTTTTTGGAGGCTTTTTTTTTTTTAACTTGGTTCTCCCTAGCTGGCTCACATTGCAATCATTTTTCTTTCTGCAAAGCTTGAGGCTCTTTGATCTGTAAGTCTCTTTCATAAAGTCCTGGATGCTTTCATGTTCCATGAGTTGCACCATTATTTCTTCCTTGAAGAACAAGCCACAGTTTCCCATTTGGGACATTAGAACTCACTGCCAGTGCCAACACTGATGTTCCTGGCACAGGAAATTAGCCAATATTTAAGATTTTGAGAAATAAGCATCAGGTATTGCAAGGATGAGATCTGTGAATTTACAGTGACTGCAGCTAAGATTACATTTCCCAGAAGGTGGCAGGAAAAGGTTCTTTTTCACAATTTAAAATCTGTCTAGATAGCAAAAATGTTTTCTTATTTCTATTTTTTGTTTTTTCTCAATTTCATATGAACAGCACAGGGTTTTTCTCTGTCTCCTTGGCATTCCTAAATACGCATCTGCATTTATAATTTCACCCAAACAAACCTTTCAATTGCTATGGCTAAAGTTCCAGCTTAACAAGTAGGGTCTGAAAATTCCATATTTTACCCTTTAAGAAATTTAATGGATATTCTTTTGCATTTATCCCAAAAGCTAGGTACGCTTCCCTAAAAATATTTTAACACTACGACAATGTCTGGCATAATTTAGCTGTTAGACCAAATATGTGAGCCTGACAAGTCCACACAGCTAAAACTGGAGGTCCTGCTCCTGTCTTTCTTTCTTGCCTCAAGGAGAAGAAGCACACTGTGCTTTGCTCGCGCAAAGCTGCAAATGCAGTTTTCTGTATTCTGCAGTTACATTGTTTTAGCCCTCTCAGGTTAAGAAGTCATAAGATTGTCTTTAAAATCATTAACATTTTCATCGACAAAAAGTTAAGACTTTGGTCTTTGATGGTAGCATTTTTGAGACTTTCTTGGCAATTACATGAGCTGGGAATATGCTCCTTGCTTCCAATGAAATCTGAGGTTTTCCTCAAATTGCCAGATCCCAAGAGCTGTGATTTTCATAGAAAAGAAAAAGAACAGAAAGAAACATAAAATACTTGAAAACTTCTGCTTAGGACTAAGCATTTGTGTTTATTGCATGCTTGCTTTGTTGTCTCCAATCTGGTTTGAATTCTGAATGTTTGAAGTGTTTAAACATTTGCTTGTCTAGGGACATATGGTACCACTGATTTCTAAGAGAATGCTGAAAACTTCACAAAGTTACGCACATGCTTAGAAATGCTTTGTTGGAACAAATATAAAGGAAAAAACTTTAGCATAAATTCTGCTGTCTGAAAAAGACTGTAGAATCATCCACTCTATGCCACCCACATGTCCATTGAAACTAAAACTTTTATTACTATTTTCCACTTTCTATTCTCTTTTTCCTCTGCCAAATTTGAAGAAAATTTTCCTTCTGCTTTTGTGCAAGTTTTGCTTATTTTCCTTCTTTTTTTTTTTTTGACAGGGTTAAACTTCAGGAGTTTTTATAGATTGAGCCCTGACCTCAGGAACATCCTCACCACCTTTTCATTCTAAGGAAACTGAAGCAAAAAGTCTCCCAGAAATAATGGTCTTCTTTCACCTAGCTAACAGAAGGGTTTGGATTAGGCCCAATCCCTGATGACAGTCATACTTCCACTAGCTGGTGAAGCTGTTAAATCAAGATTACTGGACTCAGCCACGCTAGCATGTTTGCAGCTCATGATCTCAGGAGCTTACTCATTTTTCAGTCCTACTTGTGGATGGATTAACTTTGGATGCTTGTTGAATGTGCAAAACATGAATTTGACAGTATGCCAAAGACTGTCTTTTCAGAAATATTGTCCTTCCCTTATACAATGGCTTGCTTGGCCTGCAGATTTTTTTTCTTTAACTACAAGCAATTGAAAAGGTTTTGGTAAACAATATAATGTTAAATATATTTAACAGTGTTGTATACTGCTTGGCAAAAGGGTTGCTTTCTTCTATCATGAATAATAAAAAGGATTGGGCTGCTGTTTCAGATGTGGTATGCATATGCCTGGAGAACTCCATTCTTGGTGACGATGTACTTCCAGCATTTTCCACATTCTGTCCTATGTGTTCCTACCTCTGCCCCATGTTGCCCAAAAGGATAGAAGAGCAGAGGTCTTAAAGCCTCACTGCATTTTTTCAGAAAAGGGACTCTGATATAGCATGTTCTGGTAAGAAAAGAAGACAGAAAGTGTGGCATCAGGAATTGAGAAAGATATGAAAGAATGCAAATTAGGGGAACTTCTCAGGTATGGAGGAAATATAATGTGTAAACATAACCTTAAAACTTGGAAGCCAACCTCTATCCAGCCAGAGACCTACTATGCAGCCACAAAGCTGAAGAAAGAAATGATTTACAGGTGATAATCTGATTAAACTCTCCACTGGCTGCACCTGAGATTATATCAGATTAAATCTCACATATTAGCAATTTGGGCATAGTCAGGCTTTTGTCCCTTCACCAAGGGGTCACTGCTCTAGGCATGAGGAAGTTTGAGGAAAGAACAGTTGTGCTTCTCATACTTCAAATGAACCTGATAGGTCTCAAGAAGAGTCTGACCTTTTCGGTCTTCAGCCACAAGGCTGGATGGTTGCACCAATTTTAATAAATTGATTGTGCCAAGGAATGTTCCCAGGCACTCAACTCCAACTAAATACTAGTAAAGTGTTAGAACAATCCATGGCACTGTTTTAGTCTTGGTCAACTATCACCTTCCCAAACCATTCCTGTAAACTCTGTGAATTTGTTGCAGGGACTGAACCCAAAGGCATTCAGGATGTGGCAACCCTCTTCTGGAGGTAAAAGCTTACTAGTGCAAATGCAGATCTTTCTATACCACAGCCTTAGGGACACAGAGCAGACAGACCTTGAAGCTTGGTTGTGACTGTTACAGCCGAACTGCCTCCAGAGGTTCAGGCAAAAGAACAACAGTGGAAAATAATACACCTCATCATAATTTATCTGTAATTAAATTAAAAGGTGAGCCTTTCTGCCTGCTCTGTTAATCTAATTAAAGTAGGCTGCTGAAATCAGTGGGAATAGATGCCAGTGCAGGTGTGACTGTGTGATGCAGACACATTGGAACAGGCCACTAGGCAAAAGAAAACACCACCTTTCCTCAGACCAGCACATCTCTGCCAAGCATTTCTGTTCATTGTGGGTCATACAACTAAACAAGATCTGAAAACCTTAATAGACAAGAATAAAATAAGATTTTGGATAAAGGCAACATGGAAGACCAAAAAGAAGGAAGGTTCTGCTTGTGAGGAATCATTTAAAACAATAGAACCATTCAGGATGAATTGCTGGGAGATAATAGAGGGCTATAAAGTTGTGAGGAGAAAAGAAAAAGTGAAAAGAAATTGACTGTTACTGGCTTTCTCCAGTGCCAGAATCAGGGGGAGTCAAATTAAATCATCATGTGGCATGTCCACAGAGTTTTGAAACTCTTTGTTACAAGAATCTGTGGATGCCTATAGTCATCATGATTCACAAAGCAGATTTACCTACAATTCTAAAACAAATACGCTACTTGTGGACATGAATTACTGGAAGTCAAGGCATTATTTGGAAGAAAAGCAATGCACACTTCTCCAGTTGTTGCATTCCTCCCTTTAGGAACCAGCTGATGTCCTAGGCAAGGAGGATCTTCTAGGTGGCCCAGTGTGGCCATTTCTATGGTCAGACATGGATTTGAGGAGAGAAACCCAATCCAGTAACTGACTGGGTAAATGAAATTCCAGTCACTGTCTCTGACTCCTTCTTCTTTCCACCCCACCAGTCATGAAGCTTCTCAGTCGTCCTTCATGCCCCCTGCTCCCTCACTTCCATCTTCAATATCTCTACAGTTAACTGACTCCATATGACAGAAGAAGCTCATAGGTGCAATCTTTGATTTTGCCTGTTACCCATGGGGGGGTTCTGGGGAAGAAAGTCCTTAGAACTACATCTGCTGCTGATAAATCATCTATCAGAGCCTTGACTCAGAAACTCATTCATAGAATCATAGAATCATGGAGTCATAGAATCATAGAATGGTTTAGGTTGGAAGAGACCTTAAAGATCATCTGGTTCCAACACCCTGTCACAGACAGGGACACCTTCCACCAGACCAGGTTGCTCCAAGCCCCATTCAACCTATCCTTGAACACTGCCAGGGATGGGGCAGCCACAGCTTCTCTGGGCAACCTGTGCCAGGGCCTCACCACCCTCACAGGGAAGAACTTCATAATATTTAACCTAAATCTCCCCTCTGTCAGTTTAAAGCCATTCCCCCTTGTCTTGTCCCTACCTGCCCTTATCAAAAACCCCTCTCCAGCTTTCTTGTCAGCCCCTTCAGGTACTGGAAGCTGCTCCAAGATCTGCTTGGAGCCTTCTCCAGGCTGAACAAGCCCAGCTGTCTCAGCCTGTCTTCATCAGAGAGGTGCTCCAGCCCTTGGATCATCTTTGTGGCCTCCTCTGGACTCATTGCAGCTCAGCATGGCACTTTCAGCAAACCCATCACCACTCCTGCCCTCATCACACTGCACTATTGTGGCCTTTCCTTGTTAAGGGACCCAAAGGGCCAGATGCATTACTTACTCCTGATGTGCATTAGATATGTGGCCTGGCATGATGCTATCTCTGCTCTGGAGAGGAAATTATCTGGTGATGGACCAAAGCTGAAGCAACCAGGGTACCCAGAGTGTTCCGGGCTGCTGTGTTGGGGTGGCTTTCCAGAGAACCACCACTCCCATTCCAGTTCCCATTCACTCGAGGTTCTCAATTTCTTGATCTGCAGAAAGGATAGAGGATATCTCATCTGCTGAAGAGCACAGGAGACCTCATCAGGGTCTGGGGTCTGTGAACAGCAGAACTGGGACCTCCCATGTTTGCTGTTGCCCATTCTGGATGTAGTTCGTCTTGGCAGCCTTAAGAGGAAAGGCTCCCTATTCCATTAGCTCTCCATCAAGCCATCCACCCTTCCATGCAAGGCTGTTTTATTTGGAAAACGTGACTACTTGTGGCAAACACTATTTACAATTTAATTTTCTGTTGTTGTTGTTCCGGCTGATGTGAAATCCTTGGCTTTACAATGTATGTTTAATAAAGTCTATTAAAAGTGTAAATATAGCAACTCCATTTTGGAATTTCTTCCTTTTCTTTTTTTTTTTTTTAATTGATTATTTCTTAGAGGTAAAACTTTTAATGCAATGGCAAAATATCAGGAGTAATTAGATTGGGGGGGGGGGGGGGGGGGAGTTGTTAATTTTTTTTTTTGAGAGCTATAAACCAGAAATGAAACAAAACTCACTTTATATTTGTAGAAAAGAGTGTGTGTGTGTTTATATATTTCTCTAATACTTGCCAGTTTTGCTCTTTTTTCTTGTTTTAAAGCACTACAAGCAATAACACTGAATGATAGAATCCTTTCTGTTTATTCTTGTTTTCCTTCCAATAACGAATAAGCTTGAAGGGCATTATTTTAACTAGGCTCTTGTAATCCTTTAACGGGGCTTGTTGAAAATAAAACCCTGCACTGCCAGACACCACACAGCAAAAAGCTGCTTAGTGCCAAACTCCTTGGCACTGGAAAGGCTGAGAATTGGCTGATTTTTTCTTCTGTGTTTTTCTACACACCTTCCTGGGTCCCAGAGAAGGTCAGGGTCCAAGCAATACCTGAAACTTGGTCCCTGTCCTCAAAGAGTGACACTTTGTGTTTCCCTTGATTTTTGATGCACTGCCTCCAGGATGGACTTGAACCTTAAGGAGGTTGGAAGCTCTCTGAGCTGTTGAAAAACAGAGGTGCCCTAGGTCTGATGGTCACAGAGAAACACATGAAAACACAAAGTCTAAAAGCTCCAAAACCTCAAACTTGTTATATAAAGAAGGTCTTAGAAAAGTTTAAGGCAATCTTGCTTTGCTTCTTTCCAGAAGAGAAAGGAGGATCTCACTCAGTCTCCAACTCCGGACTGCAGCTCAGCATTTTTCTGTTCAGTCCAACCTGGGGCAGGACATTTTGCCTTCATGTTTCAGCTTGCTCACAAAGTGTGTTACAGTTCCTCTTCTGTTCACGCTAACTAGCACTCACCAGAAGACATGTCACCCTGAGCCAGGAGTTGCTCCTAACAGACTATATGGATGTGGGTCTCCTGTTTGGGAATGTAGACAGAAAAGATAAGGTACCATAGGACTTAGAGCTAGATGAGCCCTTGGCTCCTTAATTTGCTGTATATAGTCCATGCTTTTACAGTATCTCCTTCTCCAGGCAAACTCAAAAGAAACATAGCTGCTTATGATTCAAAGAAACCAGTAGATATTTTCCACAACACTGCACCGGAGCATAAATGGATCCAGCCTCAGCAGGCTTTTCAAAAGGACATGAGATACTTGTCAAAAAGATATGAGATATAAGGTTGTAGGATATATGATACAGGAAGGAACAGATGAACTACAGATGAACAGTTTTTTTCTGAACTTTTCTATCAAAAAGATGCTTGGGAGTAAGTTACAGTGTCCCCCTGTTCCAGGCATCCTCCTTCCTTTTCCTGATTCTGCCCCCTGGACAGTCCTCCTGTCTTTCTAACAGATCCTTCTGCCCTTCACTACCTCTGACTAGCCTTGACTGACCCCACTATAAGCTTTGTCACTCTCAAGGCTACCTCATCTCTTCCTACTGCCCAGGTGTTCAGCAGACTTCACCTTGCAGAGCTAATGCTGCCCATTTCTCTTCTAATTTTAACAACAGTGTATTGCATTAGGAGATGTTCCTTTGGAAGGTTGTGTGTAGAAGTAGAGGCAAATGTTGCTCTTGAAACATGGAATCCCCTAGCATCTTTCTTCCAGGCTGATATCACACAATATGGAAATGGCTTGTTGGGTGAACAAGAATCTTCCCTTGGGAAAAGCCCATCAGATAATGGCTTCAAACTGGAAGATGGTAGATTTGGATTAGATCTGAGGAAGAAGTTCTTCCCTGTGAGGGTGGTGAGGCCCTGGCACAGGCTGCCCAGAGAAGCTGTGGCTGCCCCATCCCTGGCAGTGTTCAAGGCCAGGTTGGATGGGGCTTGGAGCAACCCGGTCTAGTGGAAGGTGTGCCTGCCCATGGCAGGGGGGTTGGAACTGGATGAGCTTTAAGGTGCCTTCCAACCTAAACCATTCTATGATTCTATGATCTCAAGCAATGAGATTTCAAGAACAGACTACACCCACAGAAAACCCAGCTAACCAGAAACATAACGAAAAGACAGAAACAGAAGGAAATAGGAACAGCTGGGCTTTAAAACCCCCCTTCCACCTGCCATCACTTTAAGAAACCCTAAAAATGCACTATTAAAAAACCCTTTGCACTTTTCCTGGCTCCATACAAGGGGCAGAGTGAGCACAGAGCATAGGACCTGTACCTTGGATCTCAGAGGTATCTGTAACTCCAAAGAACAACTGAACAGCTGCTGTATCGTCTTTCCATGCAGCACACTCACAGCCTGTTGCAGGTGGTGCTGGCCCTATGACAGGTCCCTGTCCTGAGGGAAAAAGGGACAATGGGGGAAAAAGCATATGCCTATGGAGTGGAAAGGTTAATTTGGTGAGGATAGTCCAAATAATTGCCAGGGAGAGGACATGGCACTTGCCTTTTCCTGCCTGTATGCCAAAGGAAGGTAGCTCTGGCACAGAGATACCAATGAGTTTTCTTCACCAGTGGTTGATGCCCAGCAGAGCAGCATTGACATTAAAGCTCCCTTTGGGCTCAGAAGGGAGAGAGGAACTTGGAGTAAAGCACTCAGAACAGCATACAACTTGTCTAATGACCCAGAAAAGCCAGATAAAACTTACTCTTACAGGGTTGTTAGACTTTCTACAACTCCTTGCCCTTTTGCTAGGAGTATTATTTCTGTCTGTAGCTGCTCTTAGTCCCATTGTAGCCACTCCTGGTCACAGCCACAAAATACGTAGCACAACAAAATGTGCAAGTTGGGCTAGAGGACTGCCCTCCCCACTCTGCCCCAAAATATACCCTGCGGCATCCACTCAGGATTTTCACTTCCAGTCTGCATATCTCATCCTCCCTGAGACAGTGTTTAAGATCCCCAGGGACTGGCCTAGGTCACATCTCAGGAAGCAAAAGAGATAACGTTGGCACCCTTGGTATGAATGCCCTGTTTTTTATCAGGTGAGTGAATGCCCAGGTTAGCCAGCAAAGCTCAAACTAATCTTCTCCAAGGACTGGTGAGATTTCAGTAATTAAAAGAACAGTGATGTTAGTGTTATAACAGTGAAAACACTGGGAAGGAAGAATGGCAGGGAGGAAAGAAGAACAACTCATCTTTAAATTTCACTGTCATTTCTTCTGGAGCTTTGGAGTTCATCAAGTTTTATCTGAATAAAAAAGGTTGCTAACAGTGTCCAATCAGGTGGCGACCCCTCAGTTGTTACTTTCTGGAAATCGGTAGAAATGATCAAATTAAGAAAAAGAATGGTTAAGAGCACCCACACAATGGACTTGCACTGGATTTTCTAGACTATTTTTCCTAACTGGAGGAATGTTTCCAGTATGGATTTGACCCTTCTTAACAGCTCTAATGGTAGCTAGCTGATCTGCTTCCTATGACCATGGGGGTTTGTCACCTCCAACATTTTGAACCTGAGCAAAAAGTCAAGCTGATACTTCTTTCTGGACCTCTAAAACCGAAGGAGAGGCGTCCCTGAGAGCTGGATGGAATCCTCATTAATCACATCACACAAATATCATGAGGGCTATTGAAAAAGCTTTTGCAAAATTGAGATAAGCTCCACTTATTGCTTCCATTTTGCCGGTGAGTTCATCAGAGTGCTCATATTTTCCACTGATGTCTGAAGAGCCTAGTGGGAAAAATGACAACCTGGAGGAGCTTCCTGCATGCACCTGGGAAAAACAAACCAAGTCTGGAGATAAG